CCCCCAGGCGCCCCTTGGAATGATTCTTTCATTGGCACCGCACAGGCTGTGCACAAAGCAACTCTCCACAGTGCTGCGGTGGGAGGGGGGCACACACACCCAGCCATGCCTTAGCACAATGCTAACTATGGAGGGGGAGTGAGGATTTAGTAGTAGGATGGTTTTCGTTCTAGCAGCCCTTGGAGGAGAAAAAGAAAAGCCAGGAGCAGCCCTCTTGGCGTAGGTCAGACGTGTCTTGAGTTTTGAAGAGCCATGTTAGGATTAGAAGAGTAAAGAGAGGGAACTCCAAGTGAGGAAAAAGCCTAGAGAGATCGGGATGACTGGGGCCTGCTTGTAGGACAGTGAGGAGGACAGTTTGTGTAGGGAAGACTTAATTGGACACTGCCATCTGATTAACGGCCCAGATGCAGCAGGAAGTAGGGGACCAGTGAAAGTTTTTGAACAGGAGAGTGCTGAAATTAGAAGTATACCATATAGGGGCACCTGGGTGGCTCAGTCATTGGGCGTCTGCCTTCGGCTCAGGTCATGATCCCAGGGTCCTGGAATCGAGCCCCGCATCTGGCTCTCTGCTCAGCGGGAAGCCTGCTTCTCCCTCTCCCACTCCCCCTGTTTGTGTTCCCTCTCTCGCTGTGTCTCTCTTTGTCAAATAAATAAATAAGGGGTGCCTGGGTGGCTCAGTCATTGGGTGTCTGCCTTCGGCTCAGGTCATGATCCCGGGGTCCTGGGATCGAGCCCTGCATCAGGCTCCTTGCTCAGCGGGGAGCCTGCGTCTCCCTCTCCCACTCCCCCTGCTTATGTTCCCTCTCTCGCTGTGTCTCTGTCAAATAAATAAAATAAAATCTTAATAAATAAATAAATAAATAAAATCTTAAAAAAAAAAGAAGTATGCCATATACTTCTTGTTTGGAGGGTCCCTAGAATACTTTTCTGCTACAATACGGCCAACCTACAGTATAGGCCCTTTCAAGGAGAATGTCACACTCACTATTACAAAATGAAGAACAGTAATCCTATATAAGAAACGGGTTTGGATATGGAAGCAGGCATTTTAATAAAGCACAACGCCTACTTACAGAGATTGTCTAAGCTCCACTGGGCGCAGAAACCGACTTGACGCTTCAGATAATCAGGATCATCAGCCCAGGACTCCAATGTGATGAGTCGGTCACTAATACTGGATTCAGAGATAGTCAATTTATTTTCACCTGTTTGGGAAGACGGACACACTGAATCAACCATGAAAGAGTAGGATGATTTGCGGGGCAGGTAAGGGGTAGGAAGGAGTGAGGAGAGGCAATCAGAAAACGTAGAAACTAGAATAATGACCTAGCCAAGAGCCTCAACTATTTTCTGGGAAGTAGCAATCTCATCGCTAACTTTTTAGCTATAAAAAGTGAGTATCTGTGGTCACAAGTTTTGATTCTTAGGTGGGAAGACTCTTGGCTTCTGTCCCTGTTACATCTTACTGGCCTTGAGGCATCTACCCAGAGAAAAACAGAACATGTGCATGTTTGATGGGGCTCAAAGCATAAGCTCATCCACTAAGTAAGAAAAATAAGATTTTTAACAACCGATACGGAAGATCATTAGTGCAAGAAGTCACTATACCTACTTGTCTGTGCAAACTTTTCCAGTGCGATAAGTGCAAAAAGCATGACTGTGGGGTGGGACTGTAACTTCTGAAAGACAACAAAAGATAAAAAAACAAAAAGGCAGAAACATCATTCCCCTGCAGAGGCGGTAAGTTAGCAATTTCCTCTTCGTATCCAATATGTGCTAGATTTGTTGGGAGCAGTCAGAAAAGTTTTACTCATTTAAGTCCTCAATTCTCTGTTTGCTAATATTGTTAGTAATGAGGAACCAAGATAGAGTCTCACGATAGATATGCAGTTCAAAAGTACTTTGTTAAAAGCACTATGTTATTCTACTTAGTAACATTTGTATTAGGGCTTTGTGAAATAAAACCATGCTGATTCTTACATTCATTGAAGCAAGCCAAACAGAAACCTAGAATAGGAGCTAAGAGTGACTTTTATTCAGTCCTTAAAGGAACGATTCATCATTACCAAGTTCCAAAATGCTAAATGTTGAAATGAACAACTAATGGCTTAGTTTTCAATCTGTTCTCTGAAAGGAATTGCACAAATGCTAACGGTGGGTGGGAGAGCGCTCTTCCTGTATATATATATATATATATATATAAAAGTTATATATATATACATATATAAGTATATATATATACAGTTTATATACAGTTACAGTTAGCTTCCCATCACAGGTATTCCCATTTAAAGAAAGGTCTTCCTGCTTAACATCACACCTTCTCATAGCCATCCTTCCCCACAGCTCCATTAGGAGTCTGCAAAGGAACTCTAGAACATCAGATGATTCCTGCTCACTTCCCTGGGGCTCAAAGGTTCTGCAAAGCTCATAACCACCAGCCTGCCCTGTAGCAAAGCCTGTTCAGCACTCTGCTTTTTGTCATACCTGCTTTCGATCCCTCTGTCTGGTTTTGCAGGCCCTGAGCCCTCCCCACCAGGCTCTCCAGGCCCGTCCTCCTGTCTTTGAACACTGTCTCCTGTTCAGACAGTTCTCTGTAATATGCCAGGAGCATGGCCATTCCTATTTCTGGGCTTCTGCTGGTGATGGCTTTAGCCAAGAAACCCATTTTTCCCTCCAGGGTGCATGGATAAATACTAACTTATGATGTGACCCAGCTGAGGGCCCAGGTTCATGAGGAAGCCTGTCTCCCACAGCTCTCTTAGTTCTCACCACCCCTATCTTCCACCCCTCCCCATCACCCTCTCTCAGAACTCTTATGGCACTTAGTGATTTTGCCCTTAATCACATCCTGTCTTAAAATGGAGGCTAAATGTCTTGTCTGGGTAGTTTTGATCCCTCAGTTAATCAGGAAGCTTCTTGAGGGCAAAGGACTGTTATACCACTTTTGTATCCCCACAGTGCTTGCTTAGCATTGTGGTGTGTGTTTTAAGTACATATCATATAGGTACTGAAAAATAAGGTCTTTCAGATTTTGAGGAAGGCTAGTGCTCACTAAGCCTGCAAAAATAACTTTTACAAATACAGACCAGTCAAGTCTGCAGTCCAGCCCTGTGAGCGATCTGACAGCACCACCTCAGCAAACCACAGCTTCACAGACAATAGATCTAATACTCTATGGCAACAGTTATAAGAGCAGGGGCCAGGGAGGGAGGGAAGGAGTAGAGATTTATATACACTGGCAATCTGACCTGACAGTTTTCTGGCTTGGAATGCCATGTAATTTTGTTTCCACTGCGGAGGTCCCTACTACCATTTGGCAGACTCCAAGGACACACACACAAAAGCCAATCATAGCAGCTATCTTATGACTAAATTTAAAACCAGACCAACTTGGCGGCTTTTGCTTGTAATGAATTCCTATCCCACCCTCATTTTTTTTTTTTTTTTTTAATATAGGAGGGAATAAACACTCAGGAAACACCTGCAAATAAAATTTATAACTGATTCCATTCTCTGTGCCAGTGGTTACACTGGTAATTTTAGAAAAATGCACAGTTGTAGATGACTAAGAATAACTGGCTTTGATGCCTTACTTACCAGACACTGTAGCAAATATTCCAGTATTCCTGGGCTAAGTAAGCCTATACTTGCGGGACCTGGACAAACACAACAAACATGAGATATCATGAAATGGGCCGTATTCTTTTTCATCAGTAGCTATTAACCGTAAAATTGCTTTCTGAACTCTTTGACAAGGTACTCTCATGCACACTGTCTTATTTAAGCCTCCTGCTCTGAGGCAGGGAATAGCACTGTTCCCATTTCACAGCCAAGCAACTGAGCCCACAGTGAAGTGACTCATTCCGGTGTACTTGGGGCGCACGTGGCAGAATTGGACCCAGCACCCAGGTGTCCTGATTTTGAATACGTTGTTTCTTCCACCATACATGATCTAACTGGCTGAGCTATTCTCCTGGATTTGGATGTTAACTTGCCTAAAGTGGGTAATGTTCATAAACAAGTTAAATATCTGCTTCTCTTCTCAGGAACTGCTCCAATTTAAAGTTCCTTTTCCTCTTCCCTGACTTAGTATGTCTCCATTATCTGGCTAAACTTTATAAACTGTATACATGTATATTATCTAGTATATGCATATATACCTATATAATCTTTATTATACTGAATTTAGCCTTTTATTCTTAATTTTAAAGCAAATAAGTAAAACCTTTTCTTTTAAATGTCTCTCTGAAAATCCTCAAAGCTAAATTAGATTGCATTCATCTCTTTGGCCTTTGAGTAATTTTTTTGCAGTTGGTCCTTGTCCCTCAATTTTTTTTTTTTTTTCCACCTGGTGGTGGTGGGTGCAGGGCAGACACTCCTTTCTGGGACAGCAGGTTTGAATAAAGACCTGCAGTGCAACCTTTATGTCAAACAACTGAAGATCTTTCTTGGTAGAGATTCCCAAAGTTACCTGCTAGTTTCTCGGCCAAGCAGCCTAGGACTGCAGATGTGTTCCTGTGTTTGGCAGGATGACCTGAGTCCTGGCAAGCTACTTCTCCATTTAAATTGAGAATTTCAGTCAATTTCTGGAGTGCATCCTAAAAACAAAAATGTACAAGTGGATTTGATAAGTATATTACTTAGGCTTTTTTTCCCCAAGGGAATTATTTGAGACGAAAGCTATCGCCAGCCATTAAATTAACTCAGAACGAACATAAAGACATGATATAATACACCCAATGATGTCATTATTGATGGGAAATGTTAACTGATCAACCTGGAAGTTTTCTTACATGAATTGTTAGATTCCCCTTCATTCAAAATGTACCAGTTGTATCAAAAATATGCAATATACTCTTGAATCATTAAACAGACTAAATCCACCCAAATGCCAAAATGACTGATAACAACAGGGCCTTAGTGATGTTGAAGTAAAAAGTGACTTACAATTTTTTTCTTTTTTTTTAAATCAAGCAAGAGCAAATCTCACCAGGGTTTTTGAGGCAAATTGTAACAGAAACCTCTCATAAGCTTAGGCAAAGGTCAGTTCATCAGTGACTAGGCCAAAGGCTTTTCTCTTCTATCCATAATGTTTTTCCATGTTGTGCCCAAATATCTGAGGCTTAAACAAATGAAAGATGCCAGCATCCAAAATTTGAAAAAAAAGTAGTCCATAGAACATACAGACTAAAGCAATGAAAGTTTGATGCTTTTGTTCTATATAAGGGAAAATCAAGGTTATGCCAATCTTTAATATGTTTAAGATTTGCAGGTGCTTTCAGTATAACAGTTTTTTCTCTTAATAGAAAACATTAAAGAAAACCTTTTGTAAGGAGAAAACTCTTTAGCGGAAGGTAAGAAAATCAGCTCAGCAACTGAACATTCTATTTCAATTTCAAATACAGATTGCCATTTCAGATCTAAATGCTTTCATTTTTAACATTTTAAACTCAAGCTTTATAGTAAGTTACTGATAGAGGATGTAGCACTTCATTAGTATTAAAAGACAAGTTTACGTAATGAAGTCAATATTGAATGAAACAGACCCCAAATGTATAAAGAGGAAATGCATTACATCAAAAGTTCTTTGTGGTCGTTCGTCCTCTGTTTAAGCATACGTGACAGTTTCATAAAAGACAAGTATTAACTTACTTTAGTGGGCAATGGACATTCATCTAGTAACAATGTTATAACAGCTGGTCCCAGTGGATCTTCCAATGGAATAACTCTAATTAAAGACTGGACAACGTCCAACCATCCTTCATCTAAGAGCAAACCAAGAAGATTATATGGTGGAGCCACTATTTTAAAAATGTAAAAATACAGAACTTATAACACAAGGTGACTTCACAATAAAATAGAAACACTTTTGGCTTTTATCCTGTAGCTTTTAAGCAGCTAACATTGGCATGGATGTAGTCATTAATTGTAGTCATCATGGTAGAACCAAAGATTCTTAATTTATAGGAGCTTGGTGATTTGGAGTCATCTTCATTTGGAGAAAATTGAAGCTATGGTCCTGGGTTCTCAAATCATAATTAAAATAGTTTCAGTGTCTTATTTATGACATAGGAGTTTACTGAGAAGATTAAGTATCTGAAGCGGTTGGCTCTACTTTTAGAATGACACTTAGGAAACTGAGGGACAAAATTCCTCCCCATTCTGGAAGGGCTATGGTCAAAGGTCTATCAAATCCCAACAAAATTTTTCTTTTAATAATTTTGGTGAAATAAAACCAACACTGAGAGGTGCAGCTATATATTCAGGATGCAGTATACAGTGGTTATTAATTATTACCCCTATACAGGAAAATTTCCATACACTAATGGCTTTTTTCATGGTCACGTGTGTTAAGTACTTTTGGAATCTTATTTTTTAAAAATGTGGCCACATTTCTTCATAATCATTAATTCATTAGAAAGTATTTTAAGAAAACTTTAAGAAAAGAATACCTGTTTCTGCCATTTCGTGCAATGTAATCATTGAATAGGGAGGTTCCTGATCACTGAAAAACAAATAGTCAAGACATCAAACTTGAAGAACTAAGAAATGACAATCCCAAATAAAAACTCAAACTGAAAGTGTGGCAGGAGAGAGAGAAAGAAGAAATGAACATGAATGGATACAGAGAGAGATGGAAGAGACAGTTGCAGCTCCACTCTGTAAGGACCAACACACACCACATGTGCTCATTTCCAAGGCCGCCGTATGTGATGGCTCACAAATAAAATGGGTGGGAGGGCATAGGAAAGGACCACCACTGGCCTGAAGTAAAAGCACAGTGCTAAAACTGGAGGCCAGGGTACTTTCAGCTTTCCTCTAGAGGCCTAATGCTAATGAGATGAGCCAGGGAGGTCAACATCATCTTCCTCCAACTTACCTCAAAGAAACACCAGGAAGGGAGATTACAATCTCAACAGAGGATTTATGGAAGCAAGGGCCTACATAAACATCTTCATTTTTAAGGGTTCTTCTGGGAAATACCACTATTTGCTTGAACTTCATAAAATGGGTGTTAGAAGAAAAAGAAACCAAACTTAAGCGAGGAGCTACTTAATATTTTAGACACTGGGAGCACCTGGGGGGCTCGGTTGGTTAAGCATCTGCCTTCGGCTCAGGTCATGATCTCAGGGTCCTGGGATCGAGTCCCACATTGGGACTCCTGGCTGAGCGGGGAGCCTGCTTCTCCCTCTCCCTCTGCACCTTCCCCTGCTCGAGCTTGTGCGCTCTCTCTCTCTCAAGTAAAAAATTATTTATCTGTTTTTAAAAAAAGATTTTATTTATTTGTCAGACAGAGAGGGTGCGTGCCAAGTGCACAAGCAGGGGGAACAGCAGGCAGAGGGAGAAGCAGGCTTCCCGCTGAGCAGGGAGCCCCATGTGGGACTCCATCCAAGGACCCTGGGATCATGACCTGAGCCGAAGGCAGACGTGCTTAACTGACAGCCACCTAGACATCCCATAATTAAGTCTTTAAAAAAAATTCTAGACAATGCTCTAAAATGGCATTATATTTATATACCTTAATTCAGTGGGTTTTCAATCTGTAATCCCAGGAATCTTAAGAAGAAGCTTTAGGGGAACTTCAATAATGAATGAAATACTCTTCATCAAATAATGGTAAATCTAATTGCTTAGGGAACATATTCACATTTACTTACATATTGTGGCTCTCTCTTTTACTATGAAGAAAACTGCAAAAACTATTGTCTTCAATCATTTAATCCTCAGAAGAATCTTGTGATATGGGAATTATTAAGTTCATTTCAGGTACTTATTAAGTATTATTTATTTGACATATCCTGTACCTTTCCATAACAAGGGAAAATTCTCATTTAAAAGATTTGTCTTAAATGATATAACTGACTGATTACAAATATTTCTGGAGAGCAATCTAGCAATAATGAAATTAAATGTGCCCAACAATGCTAGATAAACTATTACACAGGTAGGGGCGCCTGGGTGGCTCAGTTGTTAAGCGTCTGCCTTCGGCTCCGGTCATGATCCCAGGGTCCTGGGATCGAGCCC